CTGATTTCTTTTGCAATGTGCAAGCAAATGAGCAAAACTTTCCCTCTGCAAAAGAAATGTACAGTTCTTCAAATCGTACGATTCTGTTACAACATCAATTACTGTCAGGTTTCAGCAATCTGACTTTGTAGTATATAAAACAATGCAAAAAGTACTTTTGAACGCGTTGCGTGGTGAAGAATAACGAGATACATAAGAAATTAATTGAAAACAGTTTTCTTGTTACAATGTTTAAGGGTGGATATTGACATGTCTCTACTGAATATCCAGTTCAAATTTTCCCCCAATTTACTGAAGATTGATAGAGCAAATGCAAATCTTACAACAATATATGAAAAGGTGAACTCAGTCTATACCGGGGTTGAATAAGACTGACGTATTTTCATTTTTATATTTTTTTGTCAGCTGAAATTTTTGAATTGTCTTATTCTCAATGAGTTCTTTTGTGGATGAATATATATATATATATTATATATATATATATATATATATATATATATATATATATATATATATATAATAAAAATTATATATATATAATAAAAAAAAAAAAAACATTAAAATTAAAATCTTCAAACACACAGGTTTGTATATTAATATTCCTTCGTTTTTATTATTATTTCATTTAGATTCCTCGACTAGTTTCGGCCAACATGGCCATCATCAGGAGAAAAATAATTTTCTGCTTGCTCGTAGCCGTGAACTACAGAAATGAATGTCTTGATGGAGAAAATGAACTTTTGTCCGTAGTTTTCATTTGTTTTTTTAATTTTTAACATGAATTTTGGTCAGTCCTTGTGTTGGTCAAACAGTCTCTTTTAAGTTGTTATTTGAGATAAGATCTGGATGGATTCATGCTGCTCTGAATTCCCTTGGTCATTTTGACAGTTTTATTGGTTCCTGGATAGGGGATGAGTCTCTGTTAAGTGTGTGTGTGTGTGTGTTATTTGGTTCTTAGGAAGTGAATCAGTATGATGTGTGTAAGCGTGTATATTACTATGGGTGTGTGTTATCATTTGGCTCTTTAGGGAGTAAGTGAGTATGATGTGTGTGTGTATATATCCTTAAATATAATACGTCATATATGAGAGAGATTACGGACACATACAGGTAAGCAAATAACTATTTATTTAATCAAAGGTGTAGACAAAACAGTTGCACAATGTATTCAAAACGCGTTATAATTTTTTTTTTTTTTTTGTATCTGATGAATGGGTAAACCATGAAACATTGAGTCATACTGTAAACATAGGTATATGTGTAGTTATTAATATATATATATATATATATATATATATATATATATATATATATAAGGGTTTTTTTGTGTGTAACAATTGAGGAGCAATGTGCAAAATTTTGACGTGAGACGCACAGAAGTCAAGGACCTATTCACGTCCACGCGCAAAAAGCTACCGAGCTGAAATCTACAAAGAGACCGCACCAAAAAACGGCGGGACAGTTCACAGTAAGGACTAAATTCTATCTTTTGTATCCCCCGTTACTACTAAGAAGCACACACATACGTACTGACTCTTTTACAAACGATGGCCCACCCGCCCAAATTCAGGTTATATTTGTTTTTGAAAATAAAAAAAGGAAACATAAAGCAACATTTCACTGTTTCGTACATAAATTATATTTATTTACTTCTTCTTAATTGACCCTAAAAAGGAAATAAAATACAGTTAAATTCGTGAAACAAATATTCAACATGATTAATGTTGCCCATAACTCATCTCTGTGTCTCATAAATTTTTATTTAACTAAAGTTCTTTTTTTCTTTAAAATAACTTGAATTTGACTTGAACACTACAATATTTGCCTTGCAATAAAGAATACTGTGATGATGACATTGTGCTATGTCGAAAGTACTCGGAACAAAAGAAATATGTATCTACACAGCGATTTTCTCTCATCCATCAATAACGTCACCAAAAAGCTTATCCATAAATATGAAAGGATCCTACTGGAAATAAATAGACAGAACATGTCTAAATTATTCAACGAAGCATGTCTCAATGAAAACATGCTGCCAAAATATACGCATATATATATATATATATATATATACATATATATATATATATATATATATATATAAGCAGTTAATCGATATTTTTAATCTGACATTTTTTATTACTGTAAACGTTATACAGGGTGCGATAGGTCTAGGCACCTCGGCGTGTTGTAATGGTTAGCGAGCTTGCCTGGCTAAAACAGTTACGAAACAGTCATCTATGGTTGCCCCATACATTCGGCCTTGTGCCACATCTAAGCTGCGCTTAGAAGATCAGTACAGGGTGTGGCATAAATAGCTCCCACAAGATGGTAAGTCATTACTTACAATGATGCCTTCATCTAGCTAATGTCTTACCAGGATGTGGCTGGTATTGCCGCCCTTGCCCTGTATAATGTATTTAGTGGGTATATGCATTTCAGTAGGCAGCCTTTTCTTTTTAAACTAATATTAATGTCTACTGGCGTAGGGACCGAATTA